TTCTGGCTAGTCCTGCTAGCCAACTCGCACCAGGGAACAAACCCTTGCCTCTGCCTCTGAAGTTCTGCGATTACAGGTAGCCATCACTCCAGCCTAGCTTTTCTTTGTGGGTGCTGGGGATCTTAAATCTTCACGTTTGTGTTCCAAGTAAGTGCTTTATCCACTGAACCGCATCCCCATTGCCCCTAAGCAGCGTAGTCTCAATATCCCCAAGATGATGCTTTTCCCAGTGGGCTAGAGAAGGGCGAGCAACAGATAATAAATTGGTAACTGGTATAATTGCAAAGTGCCAAAGCTCTGTTTTCTTGTTAAATTCCATCTTACACTCAGGCCATCTCTTCAGGTGATGGGATCTCTTTGCCTGCTGAATCAACACTTATTTGTGTCATCAACAAATGTCTCCTGTGATTGCACCAAGTCTACTAAATAAAAAAGGTGTCGTGGCCAGCGAAAGGTAGCTTGCTTGCCTCCCACTCTCCTCTGCATCGGTTCCCTTTCCTCCTTACTTCTGCTGTTTCATTAGTGCCATAAATTATTTGCTCCTTGGAGAAGAGAGGAAGAAGTTCTTTTGGATCATAAGCCTGTGCTCCTTTCTCTCCACCAAAATGACCTGCTGAGCACCCTGTGCGAAGCACCCACAGTGCTAGTCAAGCTTAGATCTAGCCTTTGTTCTCCAGAATGTCATCATAGCCTTGTCAGAGGAGTCCTTGCTGAGTCCCAAACAAGTGGCTTACATATAAAGAATGCTGCTTTGCTGCCTGATCTGGCAAGGCTGGGTTTCATAACATTTGTGAGACACAGTTTCCTTGCTTATGACCTGAGGAGACACAGCCTGATCCTAAGGGACAAATGACATCACAAATGGTATGTGCCTGGCTATGTCTTCTGTCTGGTTCCCTTCGGTGTCCCTCCTATCTGTACTCTTCTCTATGTATGGTCTCTGCTTAACAGGGTCTCTGTATGGCCAAGGGTTAGTCACCTCCTTGGAGCATTTGTTGATCAGTCCAGCCCGAATTCCCCGCATTTGCATTCCTACTTTAGACCACTCAAGATGCTATTCATTTTGCTTACTTCCTTTTCAATAGAGCTCAAGCTCCTGAAGGGTAGCCTTCACTGAATTTGTATTACAATTGCATTCTCAAAGTACTTTCTTTTACTTTCTATAATGCTGATGATGAATATTTATTGAATATCTAAGTGACTCTTCTCTCTTCCACTTTCCTTAGTCTCTATGACTATTCTTGCTTTACTGTTTGGCATCATGGTTATTTTAAAGTCTCAAACCCTACATATCCTTCAAAGTACAGCAGTCTCCACCACACATAACTCATTCGTTAATTATTATTTTATAACCTCAACTCAACTCTCATATAGTTACAGTCTATGGTTCCTATGACATATATGGCTTAATATGATTCTTTGTTTTGTATGACTCAAGCAGGTGCTACCTTGGGTTGGAAAGTGTATCTTCTACTATGTGATAACATGTGTGACATTAGAATTGGTTGGTAATTAGGTCATAGTTGAGTTTTCAAAGCCTGTGAATCTTCCGGTCCAACCTTGATTCAAAAAATAGGAAAACAATTGAGTAGGTACTCATGTAGATTTGTTTACAATGCTTCTCAGGGAATGTGCAAGGCTGCAGACCAACCTTTGTATGAAAAGATGGGAACCCAATGCTTATAGGTATAGTTCCTTATGATTTTCAACTTATGTAATTTATAGAGGAAAAACATATTACCCTTGCTTTAAATGCATTTTTCTCCATTTTTATGACAGTAGAAAATTTATTGCCATTAAATATTATTAATAAATGTCTAATAATTACCTTTGGATAGTAAATAAGACAACAATTGTAGGAAGTTGCTTTGAAAGAAGATTCCTGTTTTAAGATTTACTACCCTAAGAATTCATAGTTTTTAAACAAAAATAAATGAAAATCACCATTTTGGTATTGCTTAAGCTTGACATCAAAAATGAAAGATTAAGCACAGACAATATAAATTGGAGTAAAGGGGCTATTGAATTAATAAAAAAAAAAAACCCACAAACTTGGGATGGGTGAGGAGAATGGGAGGAGAGCTGAAGGAGTTGAGAGGAAGAGACTGTGATGATGAACAGAGTTCACTGTATGAAATTCTCAAAAATTAGTTAATGTACTTATAACAACTAAATATTAGGGGGGAGAACTCAAGGTTAAAAGTAGAGATGCCAAGAAGATGGTAGTCTGATGTAAGCATTTGTCTAAAAACAAAATGTACATGAAAACCTTTAAGCAAAAACACCGAGCATACTCTTTTAACTCTTGTTAAGTGCCATCATTTAAAATCTAGGTCACAGATTAATGAGAAAAGTGTTATTTATACCACTTCTGTGAAAGAAAAATCATAGCTGTGTTATAGAAACAAGAAATGAGAAGCAAAAATCACTACATTAAATGCCAGTTAATTATCATTCTGAAAGGAATAATTATCACTGTGGCCAAAGTTTTGAGCATGAAAATAAAGCTACTTGAATGCCCTTGATTTATGTTAACTTGTAACAAAATTTCATAAACAGGTAAATTCGTCTGTGAAAACCAGAAAAAATGACCTTCAGTTCAGGCATTTTTCCACCAACACTGCTGGTTGTGGCATGGTGGCAGATTCATGCAAAAAGATATCAACATTCATATTGCTTTTAAATTTCTTTTTGCAGTGCTTGGGAATGAACCTGGGGCAGTGGTTCTCAACCTTCCAAACATTGCAATAAGATCCTCCTCTTATGGTGAGCCCAAACATAAAATTATCTTCATTGCTATTCTGTAACTGTAATTTTGTGACTGTCATGAATCGTAATTCATATGGTTGTTTTTGTTTGGAGTCAGAAGTTTGTCAATGGGGTTGAGAATCACAGACCTAGGGCTTAATCCATGCTAGGCAAAGCACTCTACCACTGAACTCATCAAAGTCCTTCAGTTGTTTTTTTCTCACTTATAGTTTTAACAATTATTTAACAGATTTGATGACATTGCATCCTAGTATTTTACCCATCTGGATCTTGCAGGAAGCACAAAAGGACAGAAGTCTAATGCAGTGTCCCCAGCTCTGTGAATGACATCATTTGTGAATCATTCATATCTGCTAATATCAAGCGGAGAGAGTTTCTTTGGGGATGATAACGGGAGAAAGTGCTCAAAATGTACTATTATTCACTTACATATTTTGTGCATGTAACTACTTCAAAACACAATGGCTCCGGTTTTATTAAGTTTGTATCAGGCCAAGACAGTATGCGACTAGGATGGAATTAGATCCTGATAAACTGCCACAAGTTGGAAACATTGTTGAATCAAAATGGCGGTTACTCCACACACCCAATCTTCTGGATAGTCTAGGTCAGCAAAACTGCATGCCCTTTGGGATCACAAGGCTGACTGCCCAGTGCCCAGCTTACCACTAGCCAGGGAAAACCCAAACTCCAAGCCACTTGAAAATTCATTTTTTTTCTTTTTCTTTTTGGCCTTATTGTAGTTTGAAAACCTTAACAATAAGATGATGACTAAGTGCATTAGGAAGATACTGGAAAAGCCACATTAAAACAGGAAAGTCACTAGCATTTTAATGGTATGTGCATAATGGGATGAATCTTGAAACATCTAAAGTACAAAATAAGATTAAGTTATCCTAGGTTATTAAATTTCCGAAAGGACATCGAGTATAAAACAAGATTTAATCCATGGCTAAATGTGGAAATCCTCCAAATTACTAATATTCTATATAAACCATTTGAAAATGCTCAGGGCTAAAATCTTGAGCGTGACTTTTGAGTTCAGAGAACTCATACACCCATCTACAGTGTCTTATTGGGGATGCTGCTGCTTACTTATATACTTATGGCAGCACTAATATGCTTTAACATGTTAGGCAAAAGCAGAATACAAGGTCATGTCAAGAAGTTAGAAAAATGACTGTGAGAAATTGGGTAATAGGACTTGTTTTTGGCTATCATGTTAGTGCAATGGAAGTTACACAGGTGAGTTTTCTAGGATTCTTTTTGAAATAAAGTCTGCCCTATTTGTGGGAATTTTAGGACCTAAGCTGCAGAAATATATTGCTGTAAGTAAAAGCATGTGTCCACAGCTCCACAGCTCCAGAGCCTGCTTGTCACTGGAGCTTGACAATCTTAATTAAAGGACAGATAGGTGGAGTCCCAGGTGTGTTCCCCAAAGCCACAGAAATGATTGAAGGTGGCTAAGAGGGTGTCTTCACAGTCCTCTCACTCTTCTCAGACATAATCTCACCGCTGCACAGGCTTGCAGTCTTCACAAAAACATTTAAACCGGCGATACACTGCCCTAACATGCCAAATACTCAAATTCCAGCATCATTTCCCCCCCCACAAATCTAGAACCTGCAAACCTCAGATAAGAGGGCAAATAGTTGCAGTGAGAATTGCATCATCCCACCCCTTGACATCAATGACGGAGAGCTGGATTTCTCAGGATAGGAGTGGAGTAATCATTTCTAGAGGCACCCAAATTGGAGGTGTAGGTTTTCCTCTTCTGTACATCTTGTTGGATCCATTAGGATTTTGGTGCTGGACAAAACTTTCTACATAAAAGCAGATCTGAAAGAAACAGGAGCGCTTGGCTAAGGACCACAGGGAGGAAGCCTAGGAGGGAGCATCCCGGCTCTCAGGGCTGTCTTTTTTCACTTACATTTCCCCGAGTTTTTCCATAGCCACAATTAAGGACTTTGTTCTTCTCAGGATGTCCCTTTTATACATTTATAGAAAATGTTAAGTAGTCAATCCTGTAACAATAGCTACAAAACTACATCTGACACCAGGGGAAAAAAAAATCATCTTCATCTCTTGATTTTTGGGCTGTAGCCAGTTTCATAGGGAACGAGACTCCTGAAACCTTGCCTCTCAAAACTAATGACCAGCTGTGGAAGCACAGAGCTAGAAGCTCTTTTCCCAAAGAGGTTTAAAGACATCGCGACTTAAGCACCAGGAAAGTCAGTGAACGGTATTTTACTGAAACAGTTCATAACACAGAAAATCTGTCTCAAGTGTACAGCTACTGTCTCACACAATGACAGATGCATTTGCAAAGACTAATATGAATACAATAAATATGGGGTTTACATACTAATTTATACACAGAAACTGCCCCACAGCCATAAAAATTTATATTTAACAGTGCAACATATAATTTACTCATCTGATTTATTTGACAGGTTTCTACTAAACACAACTATCTGGTTTTCATATACATATATAACATATTTGTATGTATATAGATATTCAACCGTCTGTACAGGTTCTAAACATAAAACTCCTAAAAGGCACAATTGTCCATACAACATGTACAAAAATGGCTGGAGCTGACACAAAACAACAATTATTGGTCAAAAGTTCATGATTGCACAAAGATTAGTCATGAGTTTATGTCAGAAAAAAATGTGCTTTAAGGAAAGGAGGGTTTAAAAAAAAACCTGTTATTTAAAAAAAATCAATAAAAAATAACCACTAGGTTGCTATGACAAGCCTGTCCTCGTCATCATCGCTGCTCACGTCGCTGAAGTGCACGACGGGCTGCCTGTGGGGCCCCGGTGGCCTTGGAGCCGGTCTGTCTGTGGGGAGCGATGGAGGCCCAGACGTTGCGACCTTCGGTAAAGCTTCGGGTGCGGGCTGCGCCTGCGCAGAGGAGCGCCCGGGCAACGTGTGACTCGCAGAGGCCGTCTTCTCGGTGTCCATTTTGCTTGGGCCCTCGGGCCTGGCGTGGTCGGCGGAGGGGCCGGGCACTGTTTGGGGGGCGTCCTGAGGGCCTTGGGGTGAGCCCTGCGGCGGCTCGGCGCTGTGACCCTGGCCGGCCGGCGCCTGCGGCTCCAGCCCTTTGCTGTTGGAGGCGGCGGTGGTCTCCGGAGCCCCCGCGGGGCCCACGGCCACCGGGCCGACCGAGGGGATCAGCGTGGGCAAGGCGATGTTGAGGATCTGGAGGCCCGGGAGGTGCGCCTGCGGGGCGGGGCTGCTCTGCGCAGGCGCGTTGGCCAGAACCTGCAGCCCCACGGCGTTGAGGGCCAGGCCTGGGGGGCGCGCCTGTGGGCCCACGGTCGCGTTGGCCAGGCCCACGATGTTGACGGTTTGGGGCGTGAGCGGCTGCAAGGCCGGGGGACTGAGGTTCTGCAGGCCGGGCACGTGGATTTGGCCGATGGGGATACATGGCACAACACTGCTCAGTTCGGCCACTCCGGCGGGGCAAGGAGTGGTGCCAGAAACCTCGGTGACGGTATCCCCGGGGGTGCCCACGGTTCTGTGGATAACACTCACAGCAGGGATGGTAAGTTGCATTGGCCCGGCCTGAATGGGTACAAAAGTGGAGTAGGTAAGGCCGGCAGGCACCACGTGGATACCCCCTACGGGAACCATGTTGTATGGGGTCCTCGATTGCTGCTGGGAATGCAAGGGGAGGTGGCTGAACAAGTGTGTCTGAGGGGAGGGCAGGCCTGGAGGCGGTGGCAAGGCTGTTTGCTGCTTCGGTTCTTCTGAGGAAGGAATCCTGGCCGCTGGCTGAGGGTTGAGCTGGGCCACAGCAGGGGGCGGTCTCACAGAGGATGAACCCTAAAAGACAAGAGACAATGAGCCTTGAGCAGAGTCTCCATCGCAGCTGAAACACTCGCAGCTCAATCTCTTCTTTCCAATGAGCCAGGGGTATACGTTTATATTTCACATTGTTGGCTCGCTAAATGCTTTGATTTTTTTTTTCTTTTTAGAAAATTTCAACAACAAAACCTTCAGTTTTAATTTTCTCCTTACTTCCAGTACCAGAAAAACTTTTCGCATCGTGTTTTGCAATCTGCAAAGCAGTTTCCTGAGTATCGTCGTTTTATGCTGAGAAATGAGCAAGGCTGTATTTTTATGCTGATGCTATTTTTCAGGCACCACCAGTACCACTTTATTTTAGAAACTAGGAAATGTTGAGAAATTGCCATATTAGTTGGCTGTGAGCAACAACTCGACTAGAAAAAAAAAAAAATTAACCAAAAAAACTATTCAGTCATGAAATGAAGAGCTGTTATTAAGACAAAGGTCTGCAGTTCATTTGTTTGCTCGCTCGTTTGTAAGCTGATGAAATGTTTACCGAAGACTGAGTTTTCAGGCACTGGCACAGCAGCGTAGAAGACAGGTGAACAGTAAAGGAATGCTGGGGAGGACAAATCTTGCCTGTTCTCTCGATACTTTTCTTGATACGATATACATGCGTGTGCGTGTGTGTGTGTGCGAGTTGCACTGGTTCATGTGATTTGTATATTAAACTCAAAGATTAAGTTAGTTTAGGCTAGTATGTAAAATTATAAGCTTTACTTTTTCTCCAGGGAGAAACAACTTTTCCCATTAAGAAATAAACCCTATTCAGTACAGAGGAGAGGGAAGAGAATTGTCAGGCAGAGACAATGACTTGTTGGCTAGAAGGCAGCCAGGGAGGACTATGCAGTGCGCTGCTTCTTGGCTTGGGTGTCTGGCCCTGAGCTCCCTCCTGGAAGGGACCTTTCCCAAGCTATCCCAGCAGTTTGCTCATGCAGACAGCATAAACTCTTGAATCATTTTTGTGTCCTGTTAATTTTGTTATGAAATCTACTCACAAAGCTGTAACCTACCATAGCCACACTAGTAGAAGAACAAGAGTCAACCACTGGATCCCTAAGACTCAGAGTATGGGTTTACAAGTAGTACATATATATTTTATTATGATCTTTAAAAACAGCAAATAATAAAGGAATATATTTTTTTAAAGAGGCACCACAGGTTATAATACAGTACGTGGATTTTTGTGAAAATAATTAACAACAAGGCTTTAACAGACATAAATGAATTCTGTCATTGATTTTAACAACAAAAGGCACATACTCATGGTCATAAATGAATTAATTTTTTAATGTATTAGGTTTTCCTTATGGAACAAGAGGAAAAAACAAAAACCAAACAAACCTCCCCCCACTCATCTACCTGTATTGACGCAACGTTCTTTCCAGCTGCAGGGCTTCTCAGGACATCAGATTCAGGGTAGTGCACAGACATCTGGTGGCCGGGAGACCTGCAGAGGACCTCTGGGGACCTGGGATTGTCTGCAGAAGGAGCCAGTTCATGCTCATCTTTTGCAGTGTTCTGCCTGGCTTTTGCTGGCAAGTCTGTCCTGTTGGGGTCAGTCTGTGCTGTGCTCAGAACAGTCATCTTGGTGAGTAATGCTCTAGGCAGGATGTCCATTGGGTCTGTGTGTGCCCCTGAGAAGCAACTGGGAACCCTAAGGTCCTCCTCCACACTCCCGGGATCCTGAAGGCCACTTCTGGATGGAAGATGCTGTGGGCTGGCTGTGACTGAGGGTGCTGCTGAGAGGCCAGACTCTGCCTGGCTGTCCTCGTCATCGTCTTCGTTGTCATTATCATCCTCATCTGCGCCATCAGATTCTTCAAGATCATATCCAGAACGCTCATAACCGAATCTTTGCTTTTCATCTAATACAACAACCAAAAGGATTTGTTACAGAATGTTCTATAATTAAACAAACACGATGTTTCCATTTTTAGCAGCTTGGCAGTACTGTGAAACATGCAGAAGATGGGGTCACCCAGAGCATACACCAGAAGAATGACAAGGAGAAGCAGTCAGTCAAGTAGCAGGGGCTCAGAGAAGGACATGAGGGAAAGGGCCATGGTCGGGGTTGTGGGGAGGCACATGAAATGAGCCTTCAAAGAAATGGACAAACAGTGTGAGATATAAAGAAAGGAAGTAAAGCCTTAAATATTATACTTAAAAACCAAATATGACAAAAAGATAGAAAGATCAATGGTTCCTAAGTATTTTCTCTATTTCCCTACTGTCAGGTCCAAAGGGAACTCCATCTCCCCAAATTCCAAAAGGAAGAGAGACAAATGGCTATCTGTGGTGCCTAGTAACATACCATAGCTCCTTTTGAAAGTCCACCCTAGCTCTTCTTACCTCCTTCCCTACCCTAAACGTCTCCAGCTCATGGGCTTCCCTCCCTTGTTTCTCATTCTCTTTATAATACTGCTATTTTCAATAGGCTCATCACCCTGTCTGTCTCTTGGCCTCCCTCTCTTGTCTTCTCCCAATTCTTGTTCTCCTCCTCTGCTTTGCTCCTGTTTCTCCCATGGCCAGGTCCAGTCTTCTGGGCATGTTCAGTCTACCCCTTTCTCTGATACAGACTTTTGCAGGTACTTTTGGGTGGTCTCTCATATCTACGATAAAAACATTTCCCTTTACCATGGAGTGGTCATGTTGGTTTATATTCCTTATCTTCCTTTCATTGAAGAAATTAACACGGTTTGTGGTATTTGATTTGTTAGTAAAATAAATTTGGACCTTACTCGACACATGTAATTGATCTTTCTCAGTAATAATACTCATTTGACATTTAAAGCCCTATCTCTCATCCCTGGTTGTTGATATACCACTTATGCAGGTGTATGTGGAAGCCAGCGGCTTACATAATAAAGTGCTTTCCCCAGTCATTTCTCCATGTTGTTTTTTCAGACAGGGTCTCTCACTGAACCTGAAATTTATTTCAGCTAGACTGGCTTGTTAGTGAACCTCTGGAAAATCTGCCTGTGTCTGCTTGCTGGCACTGTGGTTACAGGCGTATGCTACTATGTTCAGTTTTTCACATGGGTTCTGGGGATCTGAATGTAAGTCTTCATGCGTGCGCAACAAACACCACTCACTGAGCCATCTCTATGATCTCTTTTCAAAAATTACTGATGTTTCTTCTTGTCTCTATAAGACTTGACTCATTGTTTTAAACAAAAACGGAGTACTATCTAGAAGTCAATATTAGCATCACTGAACAAGAGGGCTCAAGTGTTAGTGTCAAAATTCTCACACATTCATGTAGGACTCGGTTAAAAAACTTTACTATTTAAAACCATGCAAAGTAGAGAGTTGATGTTTGGGGGAAGGGGATGTTTACAATATCTACAATATTTCTTTGTCACCAACTCACATGGGGTCAGACCATATATAGTTTAGTTGTGTATGATACATTCCAAGTTTTTATTTATATTAGCTTCAGTGGATTTTTGTCCAAAAAGAATTAACAGAGGATGGTATAAATAATAGATTTTATCCTATGTATGGTTCTGAGTAGTGGGGTGAGATTGTACCCAGCTTGCTCTGTCTTGCCTGGAATAAGGATCGGCCCTTTGTCCAGTGAAGGACAAAGACCAGCCTGCCAACCACATTGTAGCTTGTCTTAGTAATAAGTTTTCAGAGTGTCAGGTACTCTCAAGCTGCTATGTCACTGTAGTGTCTAATGCTATAGAAAAGAGACCCACATCATCCATCTCAGCCCTGGGGCTTTGTACACGTCCTTGTGCCACAGGAAGAAGTGTGACCGCAGTGCAGAAGATATCTGAGAGACATGCAACCTAATTTTCATCACTACAGTGTTATTTTTGTCACTATTCCTGTTTGTGCATTCCTGTTGCTAATTCTTTACTGTGTCCAATAAAAAAACAGCACGCAGGTCTAGCTGAGGAGGCAGGTAGCCACTGAATTCTTGGCAAGTATTACCATGGAAGAAGAGCCCACAAAAACAGGAAAAGTCAAATAGAAATAGGCAATAGACTTTCATTTGTTTCTCCTTGATACAAGGTTTCTCTCTGTAGCCTTGACTATCCACAAACTCATTCTGTAGACCTGACTGGCCTCAAACACACAAAGATCTACCTGCCTCTGCCTCCCAAATGCTAGGATTAAAGGTGTGTACTACCACCACACAGCTAAAAATAAATTGTTGCAAAAATAAATTCTTACAGAAAAGTCTGACAGCAATTATGCACCATGACATTGGAGAATGATTTCTAGGGGACAGAAAGAGTAGACTATATGAGTAGATATATGGTGTTTTTATAATGAAGGTAGTCAAAGATAAAACAGGCACAGATGTTTCTTTTTCATTTTCAAGGTCCTACTACTATGCTATAAAATAAACAGAACAACATTAATTCATTGAGTGCTAGTCAGGGGTTATGCTAGAATGAGTGATTTCTGGATAAGTACCTGGGTGCCTCAGAAAATGGGGAAACAGAGAAGACAGTAACTGGATGGCCAGAAGAGGCCACTGAAGAGGACGGTTTGAGCAAATGCTGAAGTTCTGCAAAGTTTGGCTAGCCTGGATTCTGAAAACTACTGCTCTGTAAACAAAATAGCAGGCCTAACTTTAGATGGATAGCTTTTCCCCCACTTGGCGAAGAACTGAAGTTTGGGATAGCCAACAGCCCAAATGCAAGGCAAGAACATGTCTGCAAGGAAACAAGCAAGATTGTGTCACTAGGAACACAAGAGAACACTGGCCAAAGGAGTTCTTTGAAAATGGCTGACAGAATCAAACTTGTTTCCAGCCAGGTGTCACTTGGCAAGACTATAACAGCTCTGGGGCTCTTCAGGGGCCTACAGCATCTACCCACGGGGAGAAGAGTGCTAAGAAGCGCTCATGTGGCTGAGGCCTGGGAGGAGAGGCAATGGTCACTTGGACCCTTCTCCCCTCTCTCCATTACAGAAACAAAAGTCTGACCTGCCGAGGTGAAAGCAACAAGCACTGATGACCTCAGATACAGGTGACATTCACTGCAGCGGGGAAAAGAAACAGGACGAAACAACCTGACTCCTTGTGGGAAGAACAGGACTATGGCCAAACCTGGGGAGGAGCAGGAAGTCTGAGCAACTAGAGCCCAGGAATCAAGAACATAGAACACACACGTTTGGAGCCCAGGAGAACTAAGGTGTGCACTCTATCTTCACACCCAGTGCCAAGCTGAGGAGCTTTGAAAGACAGCTACCAGGACAGGGAAAGGCAAGAAGGTCCGGAACAGAGACTGTTTCCAAACAGCAGCCCAAAAGAAGGAGCTTCCATTGAAATACTGAACAGTCACCATTCTTGTAAACAGACCCCACCCAAAGTACAAGGTATGTTTAGAAGAACAGTGAGGACAGACAGCAGCCAAGTTAATCCTGGACAATCTGTGCCTACTTGACATCGATGGCACAGCCACAAGGGCATGTCCATTCCAAGCAGGAAAATGACTTACACAACTTCACCATGTAACGTAAGACATCAAGCTTTGAACATAAAGTTACAAGCCTTACAAAGAAGCAACCCCCAAACAAACACTCTAAAGAAACAAAGCAACCTTGAGACTACTACTGATTCACAACTAACGAGAGAATTGAAAATAATGATTACTAAAGTATCCAAAACTCTAATGGGAAAAGATGGATAAATGATGGGAGTTTCCATTGAGAGATGGAAACTATAGCATGAGTGACTGGGGCTGGTCAGATACGCCATCGATCTGATCCATCACAAGGGTTGAAACAAGCCTGAGAAGCAAAAGACCCAACCTCAAAAACAAAACAACATTAAGGATGTAGCTCAGTGCAAGAGTGTTGCCTAGTAAGCAAGCATGAGAGGAACTGGGTTCAATCAGCTCTCACTACCATCTTAAAAACTGAAAAGTAAAACCAAAAGTAAAATGCTATACATGAGAAGTACTGCAGTATCAGGGGTAATGAATCTGACAAACTCAAATTCTATGCCCACTAAAAATAACTTTCAAAGATAGAAATGCAAAATTTCTACCAGTAGAGAATCATGGGTGATGGCAAAGATGTGGCTGTTTCTTCCAAAACTGAGATTGGATTTACTGTATGACTTCTAGGCCTCAAACTCCAACTTAAAGTCACACAAAAGTGTTTATAGTATACTCTCCAAGAACAGGAAGCAGCTCAGATATCCTTGGGCTGGTGGGCAATGAGAGTCAGCATGCGGCTTTGGTGGAATACTACTCAGTAATAAAGAGCGCGCCACTGATCCATAGTGTTGTGAATCTTCATGCTTCATTAAGTCATAGAGGGAAGACCACAAAACTATATAATTTAAGGTTGGTTTTTATTATTTTAAATTATATACATGTGTATATATAGTGCGTGTCTGCTGACCAGAAACTTTGGTCCTCCCTGGAGCTGAAATGGCAGGTAGCTGTGAGCCTCAACCCCATGTGAGTGGTAGAAACTGAACGTAAATCCTTTAGCAGGGCAGCAAGGGCTCTTAACCACTGTGCCAACCCTCCAGACACCAAAAGCATGTATTTTATTCTGTTGTTCCATGACATTCTGGAAAATGAAGCTAGGTGAGTAGTTGCAAGGGGCTGTCTGAAGTGGCCCCGGGGTCTGCAGGTGACAGAACTGGATATATGGGCACAATAATTCTATACATTTGCCAAAAACCATAGTACCATATATACACAGTGAATTATATGGATTACATATAAATTAAACCAGTCAAGGATGACATGGTTAGGTAAGCTCAAAATATAATGCACAGACAACTCAGTAACCACGTGAAGGGGATGGAAAGGAGGATCCTTAACACTAAACCCAGCTGAAACCTGAGTGCACACTGTGAGGCCTGATCCCTGGGAGCAGTGCACACACTGAA